CGAAGTGTCCCTCGAGTCTTGACCATGCATCATGCGCGTCCTTCGCCGACCGCACCAGCGGCAGCTGCGAGTCCTCCAACGCGAGACAGACGATCGCCAGCGCCTTGCGCGACTTCTTGCGAAACGTCGCTTGGTCTGCCGCGGTCGTGCACTGCTCGAGCTTCACTTCCCCACTCGTCACTTCCCACAGTTCGCGCTCCTCCAGCACCATCTGCATCTTGAACTTCCATGTGTGGAAGTTGGTTCCGTCGAACTTGTTGATGCGGGCGGTCGCGGTCGGGGCGGCGTCCATGGCGAAGGCGTAGTCGGGGTCTTGGTCAGGGAAGACGGGGCTTGGGCTCATAACCAAAAGGAAGAACACTTGAGCAGTAGTTGGCAAAATGCAAAGTGATTCGATTCAGGTCCTTAGTTCGCAACCGCGTGCTACCTCTAAGCCTGCTACTGGATACCTCTTACTGGGTACACCCTACTGGATTCTCTACTGGATACACAGTTACCTTATCCAATCAGAGAACGCCACGTCGATGCCCATCTTGTACCCACAATCTTGGCGTAATCACCGTGACGTAATCATCGTCCCGTAATCACCTGAATGATTGCGGTACAACACAGTGAAGGTCACGCCGACCTCACTGATGACGCGTTCGCGTCACACGGTCGCTTGGCGAGGCGTCGTCACATCAGTCTTGACAACATCTTCCACCTTCTCGCGCACGAAGTGGTAGCGAATGTCGATGTGCTTGGTGCGCTTGTGGAACTCCGGGTTCTTGGCCAACGCGATGGAGCCTTGGTTGTCCTCGTAGATCTTCACCGCTTCATCGCTCGCCATCTCGCCCAGCTCGCACAGAAACACCTTGAGCCACACCGCCTCCTGCGTGGCCTCCGACAGCGCCATGTACTCGGCTTCCGTCGACGAGAGCGCCACCGTGCGCTGCTTCTTGCTTCGCCAGCTGATGCATCCGCCGTTCATCATGAACGCGTAGCCGCTCGTACTCCGTCGAGACTCGATGTCGCCGGCCCAGTCCGCGTCCGAGTAGCCTTGCAGTCCGTCCTCGCTGCTCGCTTGAAACACGAGGCCGTGCGTCTTCGTGCCTCGGATGTAGCGGAAGACCCTCTTGAGCGCCTGCCAGTGTGTCGGACATGGGTCCGCTGCGAACTGGCTCAGCACTCCCACTGCCGCTGCGAGGTCCGGACGAGTCCCCACCATGAGATACATGAGGCAGCCCACGGCGTTCCGGTACGGAACATTCGCCATGGTCTCGTCGTGCTTGCAGCCTCCCTCGCACATGGCCTTGGTCAGCTTCAGACCCGGATCCTGCGGTGTCTTCACAGGGTTGCTCTCATCCATCTTGAACTTCTCGAGAATGTCCTTCGCGAACTTGGTCTGCCGCACCGACACCTTCCCAGTCGCCACATCTTGCTCGATCTCCATACCGAGGAAGTACTTGAGCTGGCCCATGTCAGTCATCTCGAACCGGTCACTCAGCGCCTGCTTCGTGTCCTTCAGCGCCTGCTTCGTGTCCTTCAGCATCCCGTCGCTGCTGCTGGCGAGGACCAGATCGTCCACGTACAGTGCCACGAACCTCATGTCGTGATTGTCCCGCTTCAAGTAGATGCAGTGGTCGGACTCGCACTTCTTGAACCCCAGCTTCAACATGAACTCGTCGATCGTCTTGTTCCACATCCGCGGCGACTGCTTCAGGCCGTACAGCGAACGCTTGAGCCGGCACACGT